ATGTTCAATTTTAATCTGATTCTATGATTCACTTTTGATAAAATAATTTTTACTCATCTATCTATCCGAGGGTTAGTTTGCTCGAGGACGAGCAAAACACTAAGTCTAGGGGAGTTTGATGACATGTAAATATTGTCATATTTTCACATCGGATGTCTAGCGCATTTCGCGATATTTCGTATATTTATAGATATCCCTTGTACATTTTACTCCGACTTCGATGTTTTTGATATTTTGTAGGAAAATTGGAGCTTTGGGAAAAAATGAGCAATTTCTGAGGAAAATACATGATACGGAGCCAACCCGAAAATATTCCGAGTACCAAAGAGTCAAACAGGAAATGCTTGCAAGATGTCTTCATTACGATCTCCATAACTTTCGCAACACAGGTCCAAATAATTCTTACTATACATCATTGGAAAGCACATTTCAATAGCTACGCACAGACATAAAGATCACTCTAATCCGACATTGCATCAGAGAGTTATGATGAAAATACTATGAGTCTAATGACGAACTGTGCAAGAGTGAGCTATTACGAGCTACATAACTTTCTCCATACAAATCCAAATTACGTGTGCGATACATCATTGGAAAGATCTCTTCAATACCTACACGTGGACACCAAGATCACTTCAATATCAGACATTGGAGCTGAAAGTTATGAGGAAAACACTATGACTATATACTTTGGTGACGACAAGAAAACAACTTTCCCCAAAACATGGAGCTCGGAAATCATGGAGGAAAATGAGGAGGAAAATGGGGAAATGTCTTTCTCCTTTTCTTGGCTATAAAAGGGGCACGAATGAGAGGTTTACAGGAGGCAATTCACACACTTAGAGAGAGAGTTTTGAGAGCAAAATCCAAGCTTTCAAGGGTGATTCAAGAGGAGAAGAAGGAGAAGAGGAGGAAGAGGAAGATCATGCTCCTAAATCACTAAGCCTCTCTAACTCTATCTCTCTATTCTTACTCTTGGATCATCCTTTTGATATGTCTTGTTGTTTCTCTTAAATTTGTGTGAGAACTCCCTTCATGAGTTTGGAATTTGAGTTTGTATAAGGATTTATGTGTGTATTGAATGTTTTATCTTGTTGGTTTGATGTTTTGGTTTGAATGAATGTTCTTAATGCTTTGATTCTTGTTGGCCCCTTGAATCAACTGATTCTAGAGTTTAGTTTTCATAGTGATATGGAATTAGACTTGGAAAACATTCATTTTGATTAGATAATTCTACCATTTGGAGATGGAGAGGTTGCCTTGGATAGGTGACATATAGGTGATCAATCCATTCTTGTAAGGATGGTGAATTTGTCTAGGAATTGTGATAGGAAGCTCAATGCTCTTAGTGTCTTCAATCTATTAGGAATCGAGAGATCGGTAGGTTGAATGATTCTAGGAAGAGAGGTGAGACTCGAGAGAGTAATCCTCGACAAAAGACCTTGAATTCTCCAAACCGAGCTAGTGAGATACCAAGTAAACATTAGACACGATCCTTGTACAACCGAGAATTCCCAAACTTATGATGTTTATCCCACCATTTGTATATACCCACCATTTAAATTCTCGTTTTAGTAGTTTAGTGTCACCACCACCACCATATTCGCCATCGACCGAAACTCAAGTAGAAGTCCGATTCTTATAGATAGTGAGTATATTCTTTGTGTTCCGGTGATTCCCGACGAGTCCCTAGAGTTCGACCCTAGATACTACAATTGACCCGTATGCTTGCGGAAGTCGTGTCTAGGTAATTAAAACTAGATGATTCCTCCAATGATGTATAGTAAGAATTATTTGGACCTGTGTTGCGAAAGTTATGGAGATCGTAATGAAGACATCTTGCAAGCATTTCCTGTTTGACTCTTTGGTACTCGGAATATTTTCGGGTTGGCTCCGTATCATGTATTTTCCTCAGAAATTGCTCATTTTTTCCCAAAGCTCCAATTTTCCTACAAAATATCAAAAACATCGAAGTCGGAGTAAAATGTACAAGGGATATCTATAAATATACGAAATATCGCGAAATGCGCTAGACATCCGATGTGAAAATATGACAATATTTACATGTCATCA